TGTTTCCGAGAGACCCCGGCTTAGTGACATGGATAACACAAATAGCACAAGCACACAGAAGGCACATAAAGCAGAGAAAGTATAGAGCACAAAAACACAAGGAACAACTAAAAATAACTACAGAGAAACACAACAAGCAGAAAACACACAACAAAAAGAAACACCATTACAAATGGGAAAACTAGCACCCAGTCTAAATGCATACCCAACTACCTTAACCCTAGCTCTCCAAAAGCAATTTCTCATAGAATCTAACAATCATATTCACACGAAATAAAAACAGTTCTATGGTATTATGCCATGCTATTAAGGTGATATGGTTTATAAAATTCTACTGCATTATGCCATACTCTTGAGTTGATAATTGGATAAACTAAGCTCAATCTAGTAGGTGAAATTGAAAGTTTAACTCTTGGAATCTGGAAAACAGATAGGGGCAGGGAGGGATTTTTACTAGTGCATGAGCTTCTTCCAAGCTAAAAGTGGGGCCAATTGAAGCAATGGCGAACTGAGGTCGAATTGGCTGCGACAGGACCTGGTTAATTACCTCATTAACAGCACCCTGCAACACGGTTAAAAGTCTAAGCTCCAGCAATTTCTCATGGAAAACAACACAAATTAATTCGATCTTTACTGGGAGCAGTGGAAAAACCTGAAGAGAAGGGTTGAGAGATAGCGCCGACGAGAACTTCGGGGACGACAGCAGGCGGGTGGCAATACGGTTCCAAGACCGGCAAACGCAGGCAGCGGAGGCGCACGAGGGCGCAGGGAGGCAGGAGAAGGTGTTGTAGAGAAGATCCTCGCCGATGGAATCGATGGTGATTGGTTCTCTCTGCATCTGCCTCCGCATTGGCGGTTCCACCATTTTCGCCTCAGTCGGATTCTCCCGGCGGCCGTCGCGTCTCGCAGAATATTCTATTCTGCGCACCACAGTTAGACATCGGTCAAAGAGTCTGTCTAGCCAGACGCGGGATTGGGTATTTGGGTTGGGTTTCAATAGTTTGGGCTTCCGATTCGTTGGGTTTCAACGGTTAGATACATCTGTCAACCATTCTTTTTTATAAAAAAAAAATTGAAATTAATTAATATATATAACACTCTCTAAAATATTTAAAAATATCACTGAAATATTACTTTTTGTCAAAAGTGAAATTGTTTATTTTCTCTTTTCATAATAAAATAGAATTCTTTAATGGTATGTTTGGGAGCATGGATTTGAATTTCAGATCCGGATTTGAATCAAATTCCATTTTTAGAACACCTAAAAAATTTAAATTTAAATTTGAATCAAATTCTTTTCATTCATAACAAAGCTTAATTTAAAATCTGTGCACATTCCCTTGTCATTTGAAATTCAGAATTTTAGATTTTGGAATTGAAGTGCATGAATTAAAATGAAATACTAGTTGTCAAACACTATCTAAAAATTCAAAAATACCGCTAAAACTTCCTACTCTTCCATTTTGAATGTCTCACACTATCTATTTTTCCCCCTTTTGAATGTAGGTGTGTGCAAAATAATAATTACAAATGATTAGTAATTACTTCATTCGTCCTAATTTAAATTATCTCGGTTTACAATATAAGGAATCATCTTGAATATTGATGGGAAATAATACGTGGCTCGGCCCACATTTCCCAATTATTTACGAAGAACAGTCAAACCCGACCTATTTAATAAAATAGAGGAATAAGAGAATATTCCCCGAATATGCTTCCCCTCCCTCCTATAAAAGGAGATGTATATCACCAAGAAAGGGAGGCCATTTTTCCTCTCTTATCCTCCTGCCCAAACCACTTTCTCTCTCTAGAAATATTGTATAGTGTATATTTCCTTCTTCTTCAAGAGCTTCTAGCTCCACCATTAATGGCTTCTAAGTCTAAATAATGTACAATGTACAACCCCCGATATTAATAAAAAATCTCCTGTTGGCAAGGTACCGCCAAAAAAGGCCCGTGGTTTTCTCCCGATTTGGGTTTCCACGTAAAAATCCTTGTGTTTATAGTTTGGTGTATTTTTAGACTAGTTTATCGTTTTTGCCGGGCTAAAACGATATACCGGTCGATAATTTACACTATCAAATATAAACTTTTTTTAGTAATATTGACTCTATTACAATATGATATATGTTCATATTTTTCTCAATCTAATTATGCACAAATGGCGGCTAATGCCTCTGTCTTCGGGGCTTGAACTTGGGAAAATTTCCCTATGAATCGTGCATTGGCTTCATACCACTCAAGCCTGAGAGAAGTTTTTAAATAATCCCTCCATTCCACAAAACCCTTCCGGTTTTGACTTTGGGGAAAAATAAGGAAAGTGTAATTTTGGTTGACTTTCCAATTTTGCCCCTGATGTGATGGGAAAAAGTAATATGAAATAGTTTGGTTATTAGTGAAAAAGTATGATGTGATAGGTAGGGTATGAAAAAGTAGGGATAAAAGTGGTTTTTTAATAGAAAGTGGAAATGTTTTGTGGAAAGCAAAAAAAACGAAAGAGGAAGTGTTTGTGGAACGGAGGGAGTAGAATTTAAACATATAAAGAAAGCACTAATATAAAAACTCCTTATTTTAAATCCCAAAATAGAAGTTTGCACTATAATAATAGAAATTTCACAATATTTTCTGGTATTATATACTGGTATGATTGACAATTGTATTGTTTATGCATTTAAACTCTTATTTTAGAAATTAAAAATAAAATTTCTATTTTGATATTTTTCTATGTTTTATGGGAAGAAGACTAAAGTATGAGTAAAATATTAAAAATATACCAAAATAGAAATTCCATATTTTTATTCCCAAAATAGAGTTAAAATATATTTACATTACTAATCATGTCCATGTACATTACGTAAAATGCACATGAATAGTGTTATATTACCACAGTACGAATTCCTATCTTGGAAATAAAAACATGGAACTCCTATATTTTGGTATTTTTTCTATGTTTTAATCTTATTTATGTTGATTTCTTATGTATTATTTCTACTTTAGTCTTTTTTCTTTACGATATTTGATTGAAGTTATTTTGTATACAAATTATTTGAGAATTGAACAAAATTACAAAATAAAATTTACATATTAAAAACTACATCATAAGCTATACGAAAAAAGATGACATGATTATATTATTTTATCAAGTGACTAACAAATATCATGATACAAAGTAAATAAAGTTTAACTCTATGAATAGTAAACAAACAACTTAATTTGAGAGAGAAAGTGTATAATTATAGTAAAAATAATAACAATTATTTCGTATTATTCATTACGATCGAACCGGCTCAAACACTTGAACATAAAGTCTGGGGGTCTATTTGGTTGGATGGAAGGGGAGGGGAAGGGAAGGAATCAGAACCCCTCTCCTTGTTTGGTTTAAAAACGTGGAGGGAAGGAGAACCAAAATTTTAGCTTCAATTTCTTCCTCTCCCCTCCAAATCAATCCTTTTGAATCGGACGGAATCTCCTTCCTTCTTGTCATTCTCTTCTTCTTTTTCAATTTTTCAGTCTTCTCAATAAAAAATAATACTCCCTCCATTCTTAAAAACTCTTCCCTTTCATTTTTTTCACTTCCAACAAAACACTTCCACTTTCTATTAAAAAACCACTTTTACTCTTACTTTTTCATACCCTACCTATCACATTATACTTTTTCTCTAATACTCAATCCATCTCATTTTACTTTTACCCATCACATCAAGGGTAAAATTGGAAGTCAACTACAATTTAACACTTTCTTATTTTTACACAAAGTCAAAGTAGGAACACTTCTATAAAACGGAGTGAGTATATAATAAAATAAAATTAAAATAAATAAATAAATAATAAATTAAATCATTTTAAAATAACAAAATCTGTATAGTAAAAAAAATAAATAAAAAATGAATGAGAATTAAAATATTAATAATAATAATAATAAACAAGTACACATAAAAAATAGAAAAAAAACTAAAAATATTAATATCATAAAATAAAAATCCATAATAAAAATAATAACATAAATCAAAAAAATTATAAATAAAACTTTAAAAATTGATAATAGTAATAAGAATAATACTAATAATAATAATAATAAATAATTATAATAATAAAATAAATCAATAAATTCATAATGGAAAATCGTAGTGATAAATAATAAATAAAATAATATACATACATACATACATACATACATACACACACACACACATACACACACACACACATATATATATACACACACACACATACACTAATACACATACATATACATATATATATATACACACACACACACACACACACACATAATTAAATTTAAAAAAATGAATTACATAAGAAAATAAAAAAATTAAAATGTAGGAGAAATGATAAAAATAGTAATAAAAAATTAAAATTTTTAAAAAATGAACGAATAAAATCAAAAAAACTGAAAATAATTTTCTAAAAATAGATAAAAATAAGTTTGAAAAATGAAAACTATAAAAAAAAAATAAAAATAAAACATTTTCTTCCCTCCAAACCAAACAAGGGAATTCTTCCCTTCCCTTCCCATTCCCTCCCATCCATTCTTTCCCCTCCCCTCCCAATCAAACATACCCTGAATCCCAACCCTAAAATTTTAAGCACAAACCACTATTTTGCAGGAAGAAGTCAACACTATTGTTTTTTCAATTTATTCTGACATTCAACTCTTTTTTCTAATCCTTAAAACGGACTCTAAAGCAAATAAGTAAAAATTAAATATAACTAATTAAATTCAGTATCATTAACTGTAGAAAATAAGTAACTAATGATTCCTTAATCATGCAAAACGTATTTCAGGACAAAATAAAAATCTTATCTCCAAAGGGGATAGCATTAAAATAATGGACGAAAGGTACAACCAATACGACTATTCAAAGCTTACTTTCCTACTTGATGTACACTTACATAATCATACAATAATACAAAATTAAATACAGTAATAATAATAATAATAACAATAATAATAATAATTTAATAATAATAATAATAACAAGAAATGACAGTACACATTTGAAACATCTGGTCTCTACAACCAGTACAAGTCTTTCAACGGTCACCACCTACATATAGCATAGCATAAGGCTTTCTTAGAACAGTGGATTGATTCAATTCATTGGCTTTGACGAAGACCAATTTGCCCTTTCATCTGGTTGGCAATGGAGTGATAATAGGCATAAATGAGTCTCCTTCGAAATCTTCCCAAGTTTAACCTCACGTTTTGGTGATCAAGGTAGATCCTTTTTGTTACTTCCCAGCCCTTACTGTTCACCGCGGCGGGGTCGCAGAGAACGGGGTCATTTTCGTCATATTCGTCGAATAACGAGCTCTCTCCGGGAAGGATTTTGTAGCCAATGTACTTCAAGCCCAGCCTCTTGGCTGGTTCCCCATAGTAAGTCTCTGCTGCCCAATCTGTCCCCAAAGGGATTATTTGGATAAAGACAGATTTGGGCCTCAAGAAGAGGAAATGAGTCATTGCAGCACCATGCACTCCAACCATTACATCACTTGAGTTGAGGAGCCTATACACTTTTGCAAGCTCACTGGTCCTAGCTGGCCTCAACACTTCCACCCGAAACCCGATTTCCTCGCCCAACTCGACCAACGGGCCTTCGTTTGTCACCGTTCTTGACCCGTTTCTGGCTATTATCACCAACTTGGGCGCCACCGCCTTCTGCAGTGGCGGCGAAGAAGCCGAATATTGAGGTTTTCCCATTTTGCCCCTGGCCTCGCGTTCCTCGTCTTGGATTAAACCTCTTATCCTAGGCCAGTAAGCTCGGTCCAGAAGCTCCCGGAAATCCCTTATGTTCTTGTTGCCCTCCATAAGTGAAGAATCAACCGTTAGCTCGTCGTGGATCCTCAAACCGACAATGGCTTCGGGGAAGCAATGGGTTCTGTTGTCTCTAAAATCAATGGGGGGGAAATCCGAGAGCTGCGAGAGGATGTTACCGTACTTGGTGATCCACCAGTTGTGATACTCAAGGATGACAAAGACAACTCTCTTGTTGAAATGGTGAGAGGTGATGTAGAGTGGCAGTATCCCATCATTGAACTCATGGTAAAGATTACCAGTATACCCTCCCGTGGAGAAGAAAACCGCGGGAACGTCGTGGCGGACATCACACTGTCGTTTCTTCTGCTTCTTAGTTACAACAAGCTCTAGCTCATCAATGGTGTCCATCACACTTGTTTCCCATTTTCTGGTGTAGGGCTTTATCTTCTCATGGGAAAATATTGCCTCATTGATATCATTTGTTGTGTAAAGGGTAATTGTTGATGAAGCAGAATCTGTTCTTATGTCCCCTTTCATCACACAAACATCTGACCTGAAGCTACTTCTATCACAGCACATAGTGCCTGTATTTTTACTGTTCTCCATTAGTGTATATTTACAGTTTAAAAACTTACACACACAGAGGATTAGAAAGAATATATAACTAAGGTAATTAACAATGATTGTTCATAACCATATCTAGTCAAACTGGAAAAAAGACATTAGTAAATCAACCAAACACAGTTTATATATCAACAAGATTTGGATTTCCCAAAGTGCAGCTAATAAACTCACAATAAGAGCCCATTGCCAAAATGGAGCTAGAGGGTCTGTCTTTACATTTTTTAGCTTTGGGTAAATAATGTAAATGAGTTTCTTAGTTTCTACAAAGCTTTGGGAAGTAAATGCATTAATGTATCTATTTCTTTACAAGGTAAGGTTGCCATTATATAGTATTTGCTGTTTTTGTGCAGCTAAACTTACAAGATAAAAAGTGTGGTGGAAAAGTGTGAAGAATTATTAAAGTGTGGTCTTAGCTTTTTAATTTCCAGACACAGAAATAGCTGGAAATAAACATAGTTAAACCTAAAATTGGAGGAAAGTAATATGCACCCAAATAAGCAGAAATAGCTGCAAATTAAACACTTTAAGAAAAAAACCAGAAGAGCGCAAAAGAAGAAGAAGAAGAAGAGCAGACAGACCATTGGAGACAGATGAACAAAGGGAAGCATTTGAATCAGTTTCATGAGCAAGCACTTCACCTTCAAAGCCTAATGAGTCTGAAACCAGAAATGCACAAATTCAGAAAACAAGAAGAGAAAAAAGGAGAGAGAGAGAGAGAGAGGGAGGGAGAGAGAGATTACTGAGGATCTGGGGAGCTAAGACAAAGCAGCAAGAAATGAGAGAGAGAAAGAGGAGATAGAGAAGCTTGGGTTTTGCTCTCTTGAAGTTATAATAATAGCTCATATTCCCACAAACCAAACCAAGGGGGTGGTGAGGTTCATCTTCTTCATTCTCAGCGCCCCCTTTCTTCATCCATTGATGGTTTCTCTGGTAGTGAACCATTACTGAACCGCAAGGACCCAAAACCCCAAAAGTGAGATTCAAGAGAAATTAAGCCCAAAGATGGGAGCTTTTGGGTGTATTGAGAAATGGGTAAGGGAGATTCGCTCCAGGGAAGGTTTCTTCTGCACTCTAGTTTGCAGAAGAAGATAAGAGGCGGAGGAAGAAGAAGAAGAAGGTGGCGTATGGGGGAGAGATGATAGCTGCACACCGTTTTAGACCCTTTTTAAAATGGCAAATTAAAAGTGACTAATTTATATTCCAATTCCGATTGGCTCCATTACTCTGTTATTAATTAATTAATTAATTATATCCTAAATGTTCTGTAATAAAATAAAGGGGCAAAAAAAAAATGATGAGAATTGTCCGCCCAACAAAGAGCTCTGTGGCGCCACATTGTAGCTTTTGCATTGGAAATTTATTTAAGTCTACAATGCAATAATGTGGATGGTCCACTAAATAGATGGATAAATGGAGTCTTTATTTTATTATATTTTTTGAATTTATCCTTCTAAATAATAAACATCACATTGATTTTGAGACATTTGTACTTATACAAGTTCAACCATTAATAACTTTAGTTCTACTCCCCCCCCCAACCCCCCCCAAAAAAAAACTTTAGTTGTATTTTAATAAAAAATGTAGAAATTTAAATTATAAAATTTTATATCAAGACAAGTTCAACAAGATATTATATTTCTTATTGTAAGTGATTTTAGTGTCATCAGTTCTTTTGTATAATTTACTTTACTTAGATCCGACATGAATTTAAAAAAACATTATCAAACGAGTTAGAATCTGTATAGTGCACGCTCGTTCAACAATATTACAAATTCATATCGAACGTATTATATACGTCCGAAATTAGCACAATCTGCAAGCAACTCTTTGCAAAAACGCATCTTCGCGCGAACGAATATGTCTGGTCGTGTCTTTTTGTCTCTAGAAATATAGAGACGCACGTATGGTTGATGTATTGATTTCGAGTGCTTGTTCTTGAATTAACGTTTTATTTGATTGAAATATTTTGGTATACTCCAAAATAACTTTGATCTGAAACGTTCTAAGTGATTCGTTATAATATATTAAGTACTCCCTCCGTCTCAAATTATTTGTCACATTTCTATTACCGAGGCAAAATATCAAGTTTTTTCAATTCATTTTATTTACATATTGGTAAAGAAATAAAAAATAAAAATTACATGTAAAAAAACTACATGAAAAGTTCTTCGAAATAAGAGGTGTCAAGAATATTTTATTTTATCAAATAAGCAATGAAAACGTAGAAATAAACAAAAGTTCCCGCGACGGTTGAAAAAGCAAATGTGGCAAATATTTTGGGACGGAGGGAGTAGTTAATCTCGGTCTTCATTCACTAGATTCTTTAACGCTGCTATTAAATATTGTTGTATTTAACATTGTAATTTATGGTAGTTGCTTTTTGTATAGGATTCCTATTAATCTCGTACCATTATTAGGTCATTCACTTTGTATATAAATTGAGGCGGATCTTCATTGTAAATCAGTGAATATAATTATTTATCTATTTTTTCATGGTATTGGACTCAATCCTAGCATAATCTCTCTCTCTCGGCCTCCCTTCTCGTTGATCAGCCCCCTCGCCTGGTCATCTCTCTTGGCCTCTCTCATCACCGATCAACCCCCCTACTCCTATCATCTCAATTGGCTGCCCTCCACGTTATCAACCAAAAAACCAACCCCCTCTTCTACTCCAAATCTACCTCACCTTGCTTTCACGATGTTGTCTTCAGTTCAATTAATCTTCTCGAAACTGAACTATAAGAAGTAGAGTCGTCTCTTTCTCCTTCTCATTCGCGTTTCAATCTCGAAGGCTACCTCACCGACACACCTACTCCCTTTAGCACCGATGATACTGAATGGCTTCAACTTGATGCTCTCATTCAGGGTTGAATTTTTTCCAGCATCATCGATAAAGTCTCATATCTGGTCCTCTCCTCTGCCATCACCGCTCTCAACCTTTGGCAAACCATTCATGATCTCTTTTCATGATAACAAAGTTGCTCGTGCCATTCAACACGAGCACAAATTCTACACCACTTTTGAAGCTACCACGTAGACCAACACTTACTCTCAACCCCTCAAAATAACATCACCCATTGGTTGGATGATGTTGATGTCTCGATCACTAAAAATCAGCTCGTTTTACAGGTTTTCCGTGGACTACATGAGGACCTCAACTTTCAAGCCTCGTTTCTTGACTTTCAAAAGTCACTTCCTACCTTTTGGAAACCCGATCGACCCTCCTTCTCCTCGAGCACCAATGACGTCCCTTGTCCAATAGCAGTGACATGTCTACTACTATTGTTGGCTGCGAGACACTTTCTAGCGTTCGGGTAGGCCTCAACTCACGCCGGCAAGATCAACGATGGTGGATGGGGTACTGGTAGTGTGAATTTTACACCTACAATCAAATAAATTGAACTAAAAATAAAGTCAGCCATCAAGCCTCATAACGCACAATGTGAAAATCCACGGGAGACGGAGGGAGTATATTATTATATATTTTCATATTCTATTGTTACCATAATTACTTATTCTAGTCTAATTAGGATTCTCAATGTACTTTTATATATTGAGAATCTTAATTTGAATAGAATAAGTAATTATGGTAACAAAAAATATATGGAAGCCTATAATCTTTAATAATTCTAATTCCGATAGTCCAAATATCTCTTATTTTATAGATCTTTGATGTAGTTTTCAAAATATATACTTTTTTTATTTTTTTATCAATGTTTTAATAAATAGAAAAAAATTCAGTTGTGTGAATGTGAATTTTGTCACATTGGGCAAATTTACAATAAAAAATAGCATATTTCGTTATTCATTTTTTCTTTCTACTTAAATGCAAAATCATTCATTTATGCAAAAATATTCTAATTAGTAAAAAATGTTGTATTAAACTACACATTTACTATACTAATCACCAAGTCAAACTAAATATTTTTTCTAATTTATTTGATTTAAATATTTCATCATTTAAAAAATAGTGCAACCGTCTCTTGTTTTATAGAATTTTGATGCAGGGTATGGTATTTTAGTTTACATAAATATTTAAATAAATAGTTTAAAAATTAACTTTATTTATGCATATCATATAAAAAATATAAAATATATTTAAAGATGAAGAGAGTATCATATTTATTAATTTAAAAATTTGATATAATGAAGTAAAAATATAAATTTTGGAAATAATAATTTTCTTGTTACTTTTTTTTATTATATTTCCTTTTTATAATATTTCTTTTAAAAAATAAAAATTTATTATTTTTTCCAAGTCATTAATTAGATATAAGCTTAGATTTCAAAAATATAGCACATAAATATGTCACATGTTGTACTTTTTGAATTAGAAATCTGTTTTTTATACTCCATCCCACCAATTCAAATCGTTTATTTTAGTTTACAACATTAGATTGAAGTTATTTTCAAGATAATATATTTAAAAATTGAGGTAAGATTGAAATATAAAATCCGTGCCTAATACCTTAGTCATGGGAAAGTTAAACTACAGTCCGTGCCAAAAAGCCGTGCCAATTCCGCGTTTTTTTTGTAGTGTAAAATTTATATATTTAAAAACTATATCGAAAGTTCTACGAAACTAGAGGTAACATGATTGTATTATTTTATCAAATGAATAAAAAATAGAAAAATATTAATGAAATTTGATTCTGTGAATAATAATTAGATAACTTAATTTGGAACGGAAAGAGTATATTAAGGATAGGGCTTGGTTCCCATGACATTGGAAATCAATGTCATGGAATGTGACCTAGGAGTGCTCCGGTGCCCCGTTCGTAAAATTGTCGGTTCCTACCCCCCTAACCTCCTTGGTAAACCCTCCTATCCCGCCCCGACCCGAACACACTCCCTACCCTCTTCAATAACACCCCCAAGTTAATTTTGAATTTGCAGTTAAATTTTGACTCTAAAGTGAAAATTAACTTGGAGGTGTAATTGAATGGGGTGAGGGTAGTGTTCGGGTCAAGGCAGGGTGTAGGGATTTGTCGGATCATCCCATTGCATTGGTTTGACATTGGAACTAAGCCCTAAGGGTAAATTGTTAGATGACTCCGTTATGTTTCTAAAGTGCAATGTGCCAATGTCCAATGGGCCATCCATACACATGCCCGTCACATGTAAGGAGTATTTATCAATGCAAACCCCTATCCCACCATATAAGCCCAAAAATGTGAACTCGATTCTTATCTATATATACGTAATACGTGTCCAACTTACTAATTTTTGATTGTTTCTAAGTGTTAAGTACTTAGAGCATCTCCAACCATATCATTTTAACTAGTTAAAGCCTAAAAGTTATAATATAATTAGTTAAACACTTTTGTTTTTCTCCAAAGAGCATGCTTTATTTTAGCAAGTTTGTCAAAAAATAACTTTGGTTTGCTAAATATGACAAATCCCTCAAAATTTAGCTAGCCAATACTTAAAAAATAAAATGACAAATTATGGTTTGAGAATAAAGCAAAAAAGTGCTTGCTATATCACTATTCACTTGCTATAATTAATCTATAATTATAATTTAATTTATTTATTTTGAGAAGCCAGTGGGTTTTGAGAAAGCTCTCATAGACGAGGCTCATCATTCTTTAATGTATACATTTGAAAAAAAATAAATCACTCTTTTTCAATAAATTCAAAATGAATTAAATTACTTTTACACTAAAATTTGTATCCCAAATTATACACCACAACTATACACCTTCATTTTAGTGTGATGCCAGTGCAATGATTTTCATGGGCACAAAATGCTAGTGAAAAATCTTTTAGGGGAAAAAATAAAATATAAGTAAAACATTGAAAATATACTAAAATATGAATCTTATGTTTTATTTCTAAAATAAGAGTTAAAATACATTTACAGTGTCAATCATGACCATGTACATTACCAAAAAGTATTGTGAAATGTCCATATACAGTGTGACATCACTACAGTGCAAACTTCTGTTTTAAGATAAACATATGAAGTTTCTATTTTGATATTTTCTCTATGCTTTACTTCTATTTAAAGTTATTTCTTTTTTTTATAATTGCGCTAACATATTATACTAATGTCAGTAAAGTAAACAATTGAAATGTTAGTATATATGTTTGATGTACATTTTAAGGCATAAGAGAAAAATTATGATTGTAATTTTATCAAATAAAAAGTTAGAGATTCAA